GTATGAATGGATGACAGAGAGCCACAAAACATAGCCAAAATGAAGGAAAACCCTAAGTAGGTGGAGGGGACACGTTGTGGTTGTGAGTTAGAATAGTCAGTATGTCAAAATTCAAAGAATTTTTTTTGTGGGAACAGAATTAAGAGTGAGGAAAGATTGAGCAGAGCCCTGCTATTTTTCAAGCCAAGGAGAGTGGCTTTTTAAATTTTTCTGCATATACTTATGTTAAAATAGAGTAGATAGGCCTTGTGACAGTTGCCTCGACTGCGTATGTGGCTTTTTCTTCTGGATTGTTGATTCTGTAGTGGATATTAGTGGTACCTCCTTGGTATTAAATATGCTTGTTCATATTACAGAACCTGGAATGCGTAATTTTCGTTGGTTTCCGGTAGTGTTAGCCCCACAGGACTAGAACATTTTGAAGCAGGCACTATACTGTGTCCTGCTCGATGTTGTGTCCTTGTGTTTATCAGGTCTGGCACATGGCTGAGGCATAGACCATGCTGGGTGTTTGAGTGAATGGATTGAAACGAATTGCGTGTGGTGCACTGAATACTGGCCCCCGAAGATACCCAGGTCCTAATCCTCAGACCCTGTGTGTGTTACCTTATATGGCAAAAGCAGCTTTCCAGATGTGAGTAAGTTAAGGATCTGAGACCAGGAGCCCACGCCGGATTCTCTGGCTGGACCCCGAATGCCATCCCGAGTGTCCACGTAAGAGGCAGGCAGAGGGAGATCTGGGGAGAAGCATGCATTGTGGCCCCTGACGCAACATCTAGGGCTGGATTCGAAGACAGAAGAAGGAATTCAAGGAATACAGCTCTCAAAGCTGGAAGAGGCTGGGAAGCAGATGCTTCCCTAGAACCTTCCTAGGGAACGTTGCCCTGTCACAGCCTTGACTGCGGCCCGTTGAAACTGACTTTGGGCCTCTGACCTCCAGGGCGGTGAGGCAATAATTGAGTGTTGTTTTGAGCCTCCAAGCTGTGACAGTTTGAGCAGCGCTAGGAAGCGGACATTCTCAGGTGTATCCATTCTCAGTCTTGTAAATATTTCGAGAAACCATACTGCTCCTCTCACGGGGGCAGTTCCTGCAGCATTTCTGGATGCGGAGACCTTTCACGCTGTCTTTTGCACTCGCCAGCATGAAATGAGCTGCCTCCTTGTTTCTGTTTTGATAGTCCTGGTTGAGGTTCAGTACGACCGTAACCTCTGAATGAGGGAGCCTACGTCAGTTCTTCATTCAAGTCCAAGTCTTTAAATACTTAACACCGATCAGGCATAGTTCCTATCAGGCCTTGAGGATATAAAAGTTGAAGGACTTAGCCTCATCTGGAGGTGAGGCGAATATTTCCAGTGGAATCGATGTGTGGGGTTGAGTCTGAAATGATGACTGAGAATGTCAAGTGCAGAAAAGCGACGGGAGTGCCAGGCCGAGGGGGGTAAATGGCACGAGTTGGGGGAGTTATGGGAGAGGAGAGTTTGGGGTGATGTCACTGAGGAACTTACAGGAGAAAATGGGGTGGGGAAGGACAGACGGACGTTCAGACAGATACATGTAAAGACAGAGAGAGAGTCAGAACACACAGCCATGGGCCAAAGGTGGAGCCTTGGGACACATCCAGGTGACGAGGAGAAGCCAGAGGGGCACCCACAAAGGAGACCCAGAAGGAGAGCCTGGTGGTGAGGTGGCTCACTTTGGAAGGACACTCCCGGAAGCCCACCGTGCCAGGCAGACAGGCCTATGGAGACAAAGCCCCAGCGGTGGGACGGTAGAGGCAGGTGGAGCCAGGTAACGGATGGAACATGTGAAGAAACCAATGCGAGAACATAGGGAGCAGGACTTCTCCCTGAGGGGCCGTGGTAGGGGGGGTGGTCCACGGGGCTGAGGGCCGTCCACCTACCAGGCCCACTGGCTCTTCCTCTCACCCAGGTAGGGGCACCCGGGTGGCCCAGTCGGTTAAGCGTCTCACTTCAGCTCAGGTCATGATCTCACGGTCTGTGAGTTCGAGCCCCGCGTCAGGCTCTGTGCTGACGGCTTGGAGCCTGCTTTGGATTCTGTGTCTCCCTCTCCGTCTGCCCCTCCCATGCTCGCACTGTCTCTCTCTGTCTCTCAAAAAATGAATAAATGTTAAAAAAAATTTTTTTAAACAAACAAAAAAAACCCAAAGGTATACTTGACCTATAGTACTTCACCCCTTTTTAAGTGTAGATTTCTAAGAGTTTTGACAGATGGATGCGGCCAGTAACCAGTAGCACCATCAAGGTGCAGGGTAGCTCCCTCACCCCAGAAAATCCCCGCGTGTCCCCCTGTGGCCAGCCCCTGCCCCCATGCCTGGCTGCGCTAGCCCGTGAGCCGGGCAGCACCTGCCGTGTGTGAGAGCAGAACCCATGGCCGAGCTCGGGTTGTCAGGAATTAGAATTCATGATTCGGTTCCCCTAATCTGGGCTCTCCGTTTCACCACGAGAAGGGGTTTTGCTCACTTGGTCGGTCTTCTTCCCCCTAAAATAATTTGAAGCTCATTTGATTCTTGTCAGCAGGGTTCGTCAAATCCCTAAGAGGGAATCCACTTGAGCATTTTTGCAAGAAACTTACTGAACTGGGTCCTAAGAAGGAAGCTTTTGCCTGATGATGGCTGGTTGTGCTTTAGTGCACTTTCCAAACATTTTCCCTAACGCATCTGCCTTATGAGAAATGAGGTAAAGGTGCAAGTTCTTGTCAGGACAGTTAGTAACCACAGCTAAGAAAATTCCACACTGATTTCATTCTAGGTTTGCAGGTGCATTTTCCACAGGATCTAGTATAATGCCGCGGTCCTAATAGTCACTATCACCAGCTTGAATACAACGATGATATACCCGGGAGCCTGAAGTAGACAATGAACTGTTGTTAGTCTCTGTTTTCAATGAATATTTTTAAATTGTTGATTAAAACCCAAATAAAATGGGGCACCTGGGTGGCTCAGTTGGTTGAGCGTCTACTCTGGATTTCAGCTCAGGTCATGATCTGCGGGTCATGGGATCCAGCCCCATGTCAGGGTCCACACTGAGTGTGGACAGTTAACCTGGCTGTAATTAGCATGTAATTTACTCGCGAAAAACAAAGACTTGTTTCCTAGGGTGTATGTCCAGGATTATAGTAAGTCAGTAATTCATCCTCCAGCCCCTAAAATTAGTTGACTTGCTGCTTGTAGCCCTGACTGTAAAGAGAAATAATGTCAGTGTTAATCTCATTTGGTTGTAAGAAGTAAAGAGGTAAGTGATTGTGAAAGTAAAGAAGTAAATGCCCCTATTCCTCATTGGCTTTGGGCAGTGTTTGCCCTGCCTGATGCAGGTGCTGTTTTCACCCTGATTTCTACTTTCTGAATAGCATTTCTTGTTTCTTCAAAAATTTAACATGGCAGAAAACGTTGGCATAATACACAGTTTTCTTCAAGCTTCTAAATGTGATACATTGTATTTATTTTTAACTCAAAATGAAGAGTCAGGAAAGAATGGGCCAAAACCCAGAAGGTGACAGTCAAAGGGGGTAAGTGTGGTTTTGCATATGGGTTGAAAAAAAAAATATCTTTTATAAGCATACACCCTGGGCAGCTGACCTTGCCCCTGTTGATTAAGAAATACGTGAATACCACCTGGGGGTGTGCGTTTACCACCCGTTCGGCGTGGATTGGTGGTGTCCTAGGGCTGCTAAAAAGGTAAGCTGCGTGAATATACAGTCAGGTAATTACTCCCTTATTTTGTATGGGTTCAGACCACGTCTAAGTGCTGTGTTAAGTCCGGGTCCTCTCAGAAGACAACCCTTAAAAAGTTTGGTTGCAGTGAAGTGTTTGGACTGCCTTCAGACGAAGACCCTGCAGTCCAGAGACAGTGATACATTCCAGAAGGGGGTGCTTACAGAGTAGCCAGCTTGGCAGAGTTCAGGCTCGTATAGTAGCTTCATGAATGGGAATTTGTTCCGGCTTGTGACCCCGCTGGGAAATGGTGCCCGGCACGTATTGTCAAATATATGTGGAGACTCATGACCATCTCTGAGGAGCAGTGTCCTTGGGGGTTCCCGTGCTAGATGGACGATAGGACCCCAGAAATCTGTTCTTGCCATGAGACTCAATGGATCAGAACCCTACAGGGCCAGTGATTTTACGGGAACGGCATGATTAGGTGATAACAGAATTAGATTATAGAATTAGTAGAATTAGGTTATAGAATTAGTAGATTTGGGGGAGCCTGGGTGGCTCAGTCAGTTAAGCGTCTGACTTCGGCTCAGGTCATGATCGCGTGGTTCGTGGGTTCGAGCCCCGTGTCAGGCTCTGTGTGGATAGGTTGGAGCCTGCAGCCTGCTTTGGATTCTGTGTCTCCCTCTCTCTCTCTGCCCTCCCCTTCTTGTGCTCTCTCTCTGTCTCTCTGTCTCGAAAATAAATAAATCATTAAAAAAATAATAATTAATAGATATAGTTTGACCGCAGCAACCCAATGACCTTTTATGTCTTTTCTGCCATAAAATTTCACCTTAGACGGTTAGGTGCTTTAGTGACATCCTAATGCAAGGGTAGTCTTTGCCACCACACTGGGCCCCAAGATTACCTGACTAGTCCAGGTGCCGACGGTCATGCAAAAGAGGGTGACCTTCCCAGCAGGAGGGGGGAACCGTTCAGTAATGGTCTTCAAATAGCTCGATTCCTCTTTTGACGGTTTCTAAGGAGGGCAGTGCCCTCCTTCCGGTGACACTCTTCATGTGACACCGTGAATTGTGGCAGGGGACAGGAGGCCTCCTGCTGCTCGCGAGCTGGGGACGAGCCGCAGGAGAGGAGGAAGTAGTGGAAAATGAGACGTACGAATACATCTGACTTGGAAACAAAACACTCCGATCAAACCCCGGTGGGGAATCGTGTACCCAGACCCGTGCGGTATTTCTTCAGAGATTTGACAGACGGACGAGCCCGGAGATACCCACGCGGTTCTTTGTTCCTTTCTTTTTATGCCACCACTGCCTCCTGTTACAGAGCACCAGAACTACTTTGGGATAGATGAAAACCTTGGCCCTGTGGCAGTCAGCATCCGGAGAGAGAAGGTGGAAGACGCCAAGGAGAAAGAAGGGTCCCAGTTCAACTACCGGGTGGCCTTCAGGACGAGCGAGGTAATAGCTGCCGTGCATGTGTTGTTACTGTCCTGGGCTGAAGTTACTGCTTTAGATTATTTTGGACAAGGTATTGAGTTTCCTTTTGAATGTCACTGATGGCAGTCTTTAAGATCTTTGACAGAGCCTGCGGTATCTTATTCCAAATAAAAATTTGAGAGCCTGTCACAGATGTTAGGCGGCCACGATGTTACTTCCCCCTTACGTGGTAGAAAAGGGAAAATGGTAAGAATGTGGGATTTAGGGGCTAAGAGGGGACACCTGTGACCTGGACAGCGCATGTCAGAACGTGCAAAATCTAATGCGGGAAACGCAGGAGTCGGCAGTAGGGGTGAGCGTGGCAATGCCGCCCCCGCACACCTCCCGCGTCGGGGCCCTGGCTTCGTGCCTCGCTTGCCTCGCTTGCCTCGCTTTGCGTGAAACGCGAGGTTGTTGTACAAACGGCGCACGGTGCACACCCGGATCAGTAGAGAGGCTGATTACGAGGAATGAGATCTGGCCCGCACGTGAGGTTTTATCCTCGTGACCCACTGCACTTAGAGGGGGAGCGTATGTGACAAGCGTGCCACGTGTGGGTGTTGGCCGGCTCCTTCCGGATCAAAGAGAGAAGAGAGAGCCCTTTGCCAGTCTCCTGTGTGTGCACGAGGCCGTGTACCAGAGCGGCTCTGGCCAGGTGCTGCGACGATGGCGGGCTCTACGCAGCACAGACAGGAGGTGAGTCCCTCTCTCACGGTGCCGGGTTTGAAGTTATAGACCCGTGCTGTCCCGTTCAGCAGCCATGAGCCGCACGCGGCTGTTTAAAGTAACGGAATGGAATCGCGAAGACCCGCTGGTCACAAGTGCCCAGTAGCCACGTGGAGCCAACATGGCTCCCGCATCAGCTGGCGCAGATGAGCGCAGTCTCGCCGTTGCCCCAAACGCTGCTGGGCGGTGGTGTTCTAGAGCGTGACGCGCATGGCAGACGTCGTTGCTACAGCCCTCACCCCGCCTCTCTTGCATGCTGACAGTTCTCTTCCCAGAGTCAGGGTGGGTACAGCCAGAGCGAGTTGCTGCCGGGCTTTCCCCTCTGTGGCGTGTGTCAAAATGGCGAGCCCATGCGTGCCTCAGAGACCTGAGGACCTCTCACGAGTCATGGGGTAACATGCGAGAGTGAGGAATCCTCAGAGCCCTGAATCACCCTGCCCGGGCCTGTCACTGGATACCCCCATTCAGCTTCAGGACCGGTCAGCAGTGGAAAGTTAAACGGAAAAAGAGAAAGGAATGGAAGAAACGTTGGTGTGGAACAGTAGGGCAATAGGGAAAAAGAAGGGAGGGGCTGGAGGGGGTGCCGGTGACCAGGCCCAGCCCCGGGACCTCCAGCTGCTCCTCTGTGTCGACATCCTGTTGGGTCTGAGAGCGGTGGGGACGTCCGTTTCCCCAGCAGCACTCGGCCTGCCCCCCGCCCCCATTTTGCGGGCCCACGTCTGTTGCAACCCCCTCCCGGCTTAGCCCCCCAACCACGTGCACTTTTGTTGTTTAGAGGCTGTGCTGATTTTGCTTCCGCCAGTCGGGGGCTGTCGTCTCCCCTGCTCCTCTCGGAAAGGAGACCTCCTTTCCTTCCTCTGCAAGGCAGCTCAAAACTTGTGCCTCAGAGAAGTAACCAGGAATAAGCACGAACTCTTCCATGACGTTCTGAAGCCTTCTGTTTTGCCCCTGCAGCTTACAACCCTGCGCGGCGCGATTTTGGAAGACGCCATACCCTCCACTGCCAGGCACGGGACCGCGCGGGGACTACCTCTCAAAGAAGTTCTAGAGTACGTCATTCCAGAGCTGAGCATTCAGTGCCTGAGACAGGCTTCGAATTCGCCCAAGGTCGCGGAGCAGCTGCTCAAGCTGGATGAACAAGGGGTATGTACAGTGTGCGAGACTCTGTGTTCGGGGTATGACTTCGTGTCTGCGTTTCTAAATGTTTGGGACTTGCCCTGACCCGGCTAGCGAGACCACATCTGATTCATGATTATTAGACATGGGTGGTGTTTCTTCCGGGGTTTTAAAAAACTCACATCGCGCCTTTCCCCCAACTAGCATTTATTCGTGTCCGCTGTGCACGAGGCATTCCACGCTAACAGGTAGGAGTGGACAGCGTGCCTTGGGAAGACTGAAGTTAAGACGTAGCCCCTCGCCCGGTGGGGATGGTAAGACCGAGAGCATAAAACCTCTGCAGGGAAGAATAAATACGGTGGTGGATCTTGGAGAGGTTTACGGGCAGTGAGTGTGCCTTGGGAAAAGAAGGAATAACACACCGGATGGCAAATCTCCTGAAGGGAGGTAGCATCGCAGCTGGGACTTGGGTAGAATTCCAGGAGGGAGATGTGAGTAGTTGGCCGCTTTAGGAACTATGACTAGTTTCTTTATAAGACAGGGGCACATCTAGGGTGGTTGTAGTTTAAACAACAACAACAAAAAAGTATGCTGAAACTTAGAGCTAGGCTAAGGAGTTTGCACTTGATTCAGGAGGCAGTAGGGAGCCATGGAAGCTTTTTGGTAGGACACAGCACTATCAGAGCTGGATTCTAGGAAGATTATTCTGCTGGAAGGGAATGAGATAGGCTGAGACGATCAAGAATGACGATGGCCTGGAGTTCAATTATGGTCCGTTGACATCATCCAGGAGAGAATTAATGACAGGCAGGCTTGAGACGGTGTCACGGAAGATAGAAAGAGGTCTTTCAAGTGTCATATGCGAGATAACTTGGAAGGGGAGACTGACAAGGAGGCACCCAAATATATGCAACTGATTTTAAATGAGCAGAAAAAGCAGAAAGACACTGGTGATGTGTATTTCTTGAATTTGCTAAGGAAAATTTTTCTGCTCGTTTTGGAGAGAATGCGAGGCGTTTCTTGGTTGACCCATTAACACCAGTGTGGCTCATACTCGGATCCCTGGAATTCTGAGAGTGCTGAGACAGGAACTTTGTGTAAGGAATTAGCACTCTGTATGATCAGCTGGAGGAAGTAGCCACCATAACATTGAGAATGAATAAGCGTGGGACCTGTCTGTCTCAGGAAGGCTGACATATTAAAAACAACTAAACCAAACCGAAACTCCAGCCTAGAACAGTTGACTTGTAAGACCGCGTGGTCCGCAAGGTAGTTCGACCATGATCATGACCGGGAAAGTGTGTGGAATGTACGAGATGTCCGTGAAGCCGATGAGGAAAACACGACCTTGGAAGGATCGTGGATGTATCGGTGCGGGTCCAGATGCTGTCATGTTCAAGCAGGCTTGTTGAGAAGAATTGCAATAACTTTCACGTCTTATTTTCATGTTTCTTTTTATGATGTTGCACGTCACGGGAGAATGCGGTAGTTCTGGGTCCCTTTATGTTGCCAGTGTATGTGGTTCTCCCCTTAAAGTATATCGCTGTACTTGCTGTATAGCAGGGTCTTGGCGGATGAGGTAGGTGGTTCCCTAAGGCTGCTCTAGAAAATTCCACAGATGGCCCATGAACCGCGGGCCTGAATCCCAAAGTCCTCAAGGCCCCGAGAGACGATCACAGCAGCTACTGTTGACCATCTCCTCACGAAATGAAGCACGAATTTGGGATGCCTGTTTAGCAGAATAGGTCCAGAAGCTATGCCAGGCAATTTTTTTATTTTAATCCAGCGTGTAGGTGCTTTTTATAGTGCGATGTCAAAATTAATGCTTTGAAAATTGGGTTCTGCTTTTAAGTAAACCAACGCGTTCTTTAGCTCTGGTTGTATTTCATGTGTTTTTTCTTTGGCAATCGTATTTGCGTGACTTTGGTATACTTTCTTAATGGTGTACATTGTGGTGTTAAACTTTCCGTACCTCTTGATGGTGTCTGGTTCCCGTATTCCGTGAGGAAGAGATGCTGTTTATTTTCATCTGTAAGAGATTTTTAACTTTCTGGTTTCGAAAGGACCCTTAAAAGTTGCCACTAACCGTTAGAGTGTCTGAGAGTTTATTCCAAGGAGCGCCCTTCTTATTCTCCTTCTTAAACGTAAATCCGCACAGGAATGGTACGGGCCAGTTCATGGTACTGTTCTTAAGGGTTTTTAATCGTGAAAAAAATACTCAGAGGATATATTGTCGTCTTCTGCTCTCCTGGGGTTTGTCGCCCACCCTGGCTCAACAAGGTCAGAAAGGGCACCTGCTGTGTCCGGGGCACAGGTTAGTCGTGGAGAGTGACGAGGGAAGTAAGTAACTATTAAGCGAGACTCTGAAACTTTTGTTCCTTTCTCTGCATAAATTCACCTGTCAACCTCTAAAATCCCATGTTTCCTGTTTTAAAAGACGATCCTAATTTATGTTAACAGGTGGCTTTCTAAAATTATGTAGGTTGACCAAAAAAAAAAAAAAAAAATTCAGGTAAGTCGTGGCGGCTCCCTCTCTTAGAAGATCATGGCTTCTGGGGCAGAATGGCTCATTTGTCCTTGGGCCAGCCGTCCCTTCCTATTGTCCCCTCACCACCCTAGATATTGGTGTTGATTTGCATACCATGCTTGCTTCTCAGTCACGCAGGTCCAAATAAATGAGGCTGCAAGCTCGCTGGGAGTAAACAGACCCGGAGAGAATAGAATGCCCTGGAAGGAAAGGGCTTCCCTGCACACTCCAGTTTATTTGCAAGACAATTCAGAAGCTTTGTGTTTGTCCCCTTCATTTAAATTTAAATTTTCTTGTCAGTGATGACTGGGCTTCTGGCCTTGGGAACCCAGCAGTCAGTCATTATCCAGTTCCAGAAACCAAAGGAGACCTCCCTCGCTGGGTTGTCTGTCTGAGCAGCCCATCTGTACGTCCAGCTCTCCGCACTGAGGCAGTGTGTGGTTTCAACAAGCGGGGATTTCTGGTCTGCGACAGCGTGGACACCTGAGAGCAGGCCGAGCTCCCCCCCAGGACTGTGGGACTGGCCGTTGCCCAAGTCGGAATGGCTAAAGCAAGGACGGCGGGATGGGTCGGAGCGGAGGGGGGCGGCCGGAGGTCTGGAAAGCTTGGCTACAAACCCTGTTCCGCGAGAATTGGGCATTTTAGTACTTGGGGGGTGGGATCCCCCCTTTAACTGTGCCCTGATTAACTGCAGGGTGCGTTACCAGCTGTGTGCAGGTCTGTTGCTAGCGTAAGGGGAGTGATGGTCATATGGCGTTTCGACTGTTTTCGTGAGGTTTGTTAAAATGTTTAAGTCAGAGCTGTGTCTTCACGGCGTTTCATTCTGTTCCTGTTTTAGTGGAATGGCAGCCACCGTAGCAAGCCGGCCCCGACTGTTTGCTCGAAGTCCCTAGAGGTAGTTCCACCTTGCGGCCTCCTCACGGTAAACGTGCTCGGTGCCCCTGCCAGGCTGCGCGTGTCCCACGGGACATTTTCCCTGCAGCAGAGCTCCGGTCACCCTCGTGAGCACCTGTGGGCTTTGAAATCTCTTGGAGCACATCCCCTAATTTCCGTGGGCCCAGGGGCTTCTTGGAGGGTGGGCAGATTCACAGGCAGGGTCTGTGACAGGCAATCTGCACAGGCAGATTCTAGACCCATTCACAGGCAGGGTCTAGACTCAGGCTGGCTTGTCCGACGGCTGGGGAGAAGGGTGTGAAGTGGACAGCACCACAGCCAGCGGGGTAGGCCCAGGGGAGTTCGGTTCTCTGGGTGTTTGGCCTTTGCCCAAATGAGAGTCCACAAGGAATATCAAGTCCAGGAGACCCTGGAATCACAGAGAGAAATTGTGCCCGTCGGGTGAGAGCTCTGCTTAGCGGACGTGAGGCCGCACTAGCCCAAACCGTGGGGCCCCAAGCAGCTTTGCTCCTCTGGGCCTCCTCCCAAAGGAGTGGGAGCATAAGATGGGAAAGTGGTCCCCCTCTGGAGCAGCCAGGGGGCGTCGGAGGCCGGGCCGCGCAAGACGAGGCGGCCAGATGGTGTTGGCACATGGCCTGGCAGCACTTTGACGTGAGCGGCAGGTTGAAGAGCAGAGGACAGGCCAACGGGACCGAGCGTGCGGCTGTGCGGCCCTGTCTACTGGCCGCGGGGGAAACTGCGGGTGCCTGGATGCAGGGACATTGGGGCCCACGGGACGCCGGGTTACACACGCCAGGGCTCACCATCCCGCTCTATTTCTGGCAGAGTGTCCTACAGGCTAGGGCCAAATAACTGGAGAGAGGTGAAGTCGTCTTCTGATGGCAAAAGAGAAGTCAAACCAACAAGATATCTAGGCCGGGAAGCAGGCATTCTGAGGCCTTGTTACAGGATTACGGTGGATCCTGATGGTCGCTGAGATCACCAACGTCCAGGGTGATGCTTGCTAGTCCCGTGTTTCCCTGGCGTGCTGTAAGATCCTGGAACGTCTTCTGAGTCACTCAGGAACAATTAGCGTTCAGAATGAAGTAAAATTAGGCGTTTTGATTACACTTCGTACTACTTTTTAGACGATGGTCCGTTTGCAGTAGATACGGTGTCTCATTTATTTGGGGAGCTGGCCAGAAACAGACATTCCTCAGTCTCTGGATGAAGGGGAGTGTTTTTGTACTTGACCCTCCTAAAGAACTGGTTCAATAAAATGCACGACTGTGGCTAGAAAATGGCTTGTGCCCGGCGTCTCCTCCCCACACTCAGGGCACGAATCACTGTGTTCACTGTGCAGTTGTGGCTGACTGTCTGTTCAACTGCAAATTTATCCTAATGCGCAGTCAGGTTACTTCCTAAGGGCTGCTTAGATCGCCCTGGCAGGTGGCTTCCTACCTTTCTTGGATTGTACGTTGTCATCCGGTAACGCGGATGAGACCGCTTTTATCGCTCTGCCGCTCAAGGGAAATGAGTATCGTTTTGCTTTACTTTACGGAGAGTCGGCTGTAAATTTTGATTAAAGGCTCTCTTTCGTAGCTCGATAATGAAAGTGAACAGTGTTATGGATTGATGCCTTCCGGAAGCCGGCGACGTCTGATAATCTGTCCGTTTTTGAGTCTCAGATCGCCGGTAGTAAGACCAAGTGCGCTGATTGCGTGAGTGAGGAGTAGTTTCTCTTTGGATATAATAAGAAAACTGTAAAAATGGTTCCAGTGTCTCCCCGGCCTTGGGAGACAGCAAGCCTTTGGCTACCAGCTTGATAAGAGATTGACTGCAAGATAGAGTTACAGCAGGATCTCCTCCGTCGCTATCAAAATTCTTTACGGCTTTTGTATATTTAGCAGATGTTTTCTTTTCAGGATAGCCAAAGACATAGAAATAACTGTAATTGTATAGCCAGAGTTATTTTTATGGAAACAGAACATTATTCTATTTATATACATATATCACAGTTTCCCCTGGGATTCCCTCCTTACCAGACCTTAATTTGGTTTGTGTTTTCATTACAGTCGTTCATAGTTTCCTGAATGTTCAACGAACAACAAAAGAAGCATCAGGAACCAGAGCCGGGAAACTTTAAAGTCGTGGCCTTTTTGGTTTTTTTTTTTCCCCCCTAACTTAGGAGATGATGCTTCTTATTATATGAAGGGTATAAAATTAGGTATTTCCATGCTTGTATGTTTAAGTAGATGCCTGAACTTGTCTGTCCATTTTGGAAACCTGGTCGATCCCACATGGCCATTCTATACATTCTGTTTCTTAGGATTCCTGCTGTTTCTCCAGCTGCATTTTGGGGTTTCTGGGTTGTGTGTTTGTAGCATTTTGTGCAGTAACCCTTGCTTCTTCCTCTTTTCGCTTCTTTGCTTATGGGAATCGTCCTGGCGTGCTCTCTGTAGTTTTAATCTTACTAGAAGTTAGCATGTCTGATACTCTTTGCCAAGTAATTACATTTCTCCCCCCATTTCAGCTGAGCTTTCAGCACAAGATTGGGATCCTTTACTGCAAAGCAGGCCAGAGCACAGAGGAGGAGATGTATAACAATGAGACGGCGGGACCAGCTTTTGAAGAATTCCTTGATCTTCTGGGCCAGAGAGTCCGGCTGAAAGGATTTAGCAAATACCGAGCTCAGCTAGACAATAAAAGTAAGCTTCATATTTGTGTGTGTGCACAAATCGAATCCTCCAGAGGTAGGCATACCGCATAAATCTAAGTGAGCGATCACATGCCCTCCCGTTCTTGACCCCAGCAGCAGCCTGGCCAAGCTTCTTCGGGATAGAGTTTAGATTTCCTCAGACGAGCAAAGGAGGCACGTTTCTCAAGAGGTGTGTGTTTCACACGAGCTCAAAAGGTCAATTCTTTTTTTGTAACACCAGCAGAGAGATTCCCCAGTGCTTCGCGAAGAATCTTTTAATATTTCCTTCTTCCTTTTAGCCTCCCCTCTTCTACCACACCCTTGTTCCAGTATATACCGAGGACGCGCACTGCGTTCGTTTCTAAAAGACAGAATATTACCGCGTCCGCTCCTGCCGTGGTCTCGGGCCCGTTCTGTTCATTTCTGGTTTCACGATGTTAACTGGGGAATTGAAGCAGTGGTTAAAAACGGATGCGTCCTGTTTCCCAGGGACCTTACCCACGTCCCCTTGAGTGGGGCACACGTTAAATCGGTTAGGTGCCGATTTAAAACACAGACTCTCTGCCATCCTGTGATGTGCGCATTTGTCTTGTGTCTTCATTAGATAATCATGTTCCTTCTGGTCCTCATACATTCTAAATATGTTATCTTCTTATTTACGCTGTTCAATTTTATTGCTATCAGCCTTTAAAATATCAGCCAGAGTAATTATGTGTATTTTGGACAATTTTCCTTATTATCAAGCAATTAACCGCTTGCTCTTTTAATAAAAGATGAGCAGTGGGGCGCCTGGGTGGCTCAGTCGGTTAAGGGTCTGACTTCGGCTCAGGTCATGATCTCGTGGTTCGTGAGTTCAAGCCCCGTGTCAAGCTCTGTGCTGACAGCCCAGAGCCTGGTGCCTGCTTTGGATTCTGTGTCTCCCTCTCTCTCTCTCTCTCTCTCTCTCTCTCTCTCTCTCTCTCTGCCCCTCCCCTGCTTGCACTCTGTCTCTCACTTTCTCTCTTAAAAATAAACATTAAATAAATAAACAAACAAACACGAGCAGGTAGTTTCTACAATTGGAGGATGTGGGAGAGCACATGACCCAGTCCTAGTAGGGGTAGTGAAGTGAGGCCTTTCCCCGTGGGAGCATCCGTGCAAGGCCATATGAGGTTCCACGACTCTGTGTCCCCAGTGTCTGTCACCTTGGGACCCTCACTGATTCTTGTCTACATCAGGGTGGTGCTGGGTCTTTGTGTACCTATCAGTCAGATCCGGCTTTTTATCTTGTTTTTTTTGGAAGTTACGTTTAGAACATGGATGATAAGACCTGGAAAGATAGTGTTAACTCATATGCGGGCCCCTGTGTGTCCTTCACACATGCGAGGGCTGGAGTTTGACTGTTGTTTTGAATGCCTATTGCTCATGCCTCAGATCTGTAAAGACTGTAGAATAATTTGTGACGCCCACTGTGAATATCCACATATTTTAAGAAAAATCGGTGAGACCTTGCTGGACTTTTCTTCTTTTTTCTTGGCCAACTCCCTTGCATGCAAACCACCACCCACCCCCTTGAGGTGCGGGCATGCTGCCCTTAGGGATATCCTTCCTGGAAAGTCACTGCTGATGTGGATTCATTATCACGAATGCCTGTCATCTTTCTTCAGCGGGGTGGATTGAGGAAACGCCGTAAGACCTTCAGATCCATCCATTCTGTAACACTGCAACACAGATAATGTGAATGTTTCCCTACGTGTAAGAATGGACATCAGCTTTAAATTTTTATGACCTAGGAGATGTCCTTGTTACATCACAGATGTAGCACTAAGCACCTTTGCTCAGGGAAATGATAATGTAAGAACGAGATTTTGATGCATTGATTCTCATAATCAACAAATCCAAGTTATTTTTATGAGTGAGGCGTTCCGGGAGATGTGAGGTCTAAGACATCCCTTTAGTAAAGAGGAAGTTTCTAAGAATTACATTTCATGAAATGCTCAGATAAAATTTTGTCTTTCATGGAACACACACAAAAAATCTTCCTTTTTAAGTTTATGGGAGTTGGAGCTTTCACTCTGTCCTCCCTCTTCGGATCTGGGCCACAAGCAAAATTGAGAGTGTTGGGCTGGAGTATCTGGGATGTCCTTTCTGGCTTTGAAATGGGTTCTTTCTGTCTTCAGGTACAAAGTGAAACGCAGTAGGATCACATGATCATGAGCCACTAAGATGCTCTCTGCTCACCAGAGTATGGACCCCAGGCTGTGGGCAGCCCAGCCCCTTCCAGTCTGGATGCAGAGAATGACGAAACTGGGGTCCGCCATGATGGCCTGCCACTCTTGCCCAATAGAAATATTTGCAGCAGATCCTCAAACAAGCTCATCTGTTTACCTTCTCCATTACCATACTGATATTTATGATGAAAACTTGCAGAATATATAATTTCAGAAGGCCATCTTATAGTACTGTTTGGGATAGACTAATGATGATCTTTTTTTTTTTTTTTATTTTAGAGAAAGTGGAGAGAGAGAGTGTGAGTAGGGCAAAGGGGCAAAGGGGAGGAGAGAGAGAGAGAGAGAGAGAGAGAGAGAGAGAATCCCAAGCAGGCTCCATGCTCAGCACAGAGCCTGATGTGGAGCTCGATCCCATGACCCTGGGATCATGACCTGAGCCGAAATCAAGAGTCAGATGCTCGACTGACTGAGCCACCAGGCACCCCAGTGATCATATTTTTAAAAGTGTTTTCCCCCCAAAATGCATTTTTCTTCCTTCACTGCAATTTCCTGAAGCTGAAACCTGTTGTCTAGACTACAAACTACCTATAAGGATGTCTGTAACTGAATTTTAACCATTTAATCATAGGACTTCATCGTTAACATTGCCTGTTGAATAGCAGTGTGTTGTGATGGGGGTCATTGAATGTGCTGGGTTATCTCATCCCCTGGCCTTCATGTTGTTATTAGCCAGTCAGTTCTTCATAAAAGAAGACAATCATTGCTCCCTTATGACCGTGCTTGCTCACTTCCAAAGCCACATTCTTTAGCCAAGCCAGTTGGAATGGAACGTTACTTTCCATGAAGTCCTACGAAAAGTAACAGATGTGTGTTTAATACGTAGTTAAAAGAGAAAATTGCTTTATTGGGGACCAGAAATATACAGCTTATTAGAGAAATATCCTCTCTTACCATCTGCAAGTTGATTTGTCAGTATCCGTATGTAAACATTTTAAATTCTTCCCTTTTTCCATTCAGTTGCCTTCTGTGAGTACCTCCTCAGACTCTGCAAAACTGTATGTGATGCTTTTTCTAGAAAAACTTTCAGGACTGCTTCTGAGTCAGAATGAATATTCAAAAAAAAAAAAAAACTGCAGGACTCAGGAAGAAAATCATAAAGGCCCACGAATGCTAGATGTATTCATGTCTTTAAAGTAAATTAAAATATTTAGATTAAGGAAAAAAAAAGTTAACCCAAGGTGATTACCTAGATCTTCCCCAACAAACACAATGAAATAAACTTCGTTTTAAATGACCCCGAATAGCATTGTTTCTTGTTTATAAGGTAGAAACATAAACCTATATGTTGGCCAAAGATTGAAAAAGGCGGCCCCGAATTCTGTTTGCATCTTATTTTCCATGTATCTTTTTGTCTTTATTTATCCATATTCAAAGTGTTTCGAAACTACACCGTGAAATTGTGACTTAAGTGTTTTACAGTCACTGTGTTGGTTCAGGTTCCTGACACTCTGCGTCTGTGATCATCTATTGCTAATACAGATGGATTTTGAGTTTGCAAAGAATCATTCTGCTTTTCAGAAGGTGAATAGCTGTATGATTAAGAGGGGCTCGGATGTCATGGTTTCTAACATGTGTCAGTGCAAAATATACAGTAAGAGACCACCTTCATTCTCTGCCGTCTTAATCATAGGACTTCATCGTTACATTGCCTGTTGAAAAGAGAAGACAGTTAATTACATCATTCAGGGAAAGAAATCCTGAACATTATTTTGTTCTCATTTCCATATTAACTCAGTCCCGTTTCATTTTTTTGAGTTCTGGAAGATCAGGTGCCCAAGAATCACGCAAGAATTAACCGTAAACACACACACACACACACACACACACACCCAAGTGGGGCAGGGTGGCCGCTAGACACGAGTTAGAAGTGGCAGGAACAGCATGCAGCGAGAGGGCAGAGTGGCCACCCAGGACACTTGTGGTTTATGGTTGGGTGGTTTGTTGCTTGCAATTGAATTGCCTTTGGCAAAACGACCTTCTAAGTGTCACATCGCTGACTTTTGCACTTGCCTGGCTTATTTTTGTCATCATCCTCTCTTTTTAGCTGATTCTACAGGAACTCACTCCCTCTACACGACGTACAAAGACTATGAAGTCATGTTCCACGTGTCCACCATGCTTCCCCACATGCCCAACAACAGACAGCAGGTAGGTCCGCCCTCCTCTTTCCAGATCTCAGGTCAGCCCACTGAGGGGCTTCATGTCGTGAGAATTTGCAAAGAATCACTTGCGGGGGCGGGGGGCGGATTCTTGAATGGCGTTAATAATCTTTGACTCTTTTATCATCGGGAAGTATTTGGCCTTTAAACCGGAGTATTTCTGCATAAGGTATATTGCACTTTTTCCTCATAAAACTTGGAAACTCTTCTGCACACACCTTTATTGCTCGCTAGGCAAAATCTTAATGGAAACTCGTGTCGGCTGTGTTCGTTATAAGTGAGCGAGCTGGGTAAGTAACCTGAGCCCGGGTTTCTGCGTATGGGTGGATAACTTACTTACAGAAAATACTGAAAGGACGGATCTTAGAACTTATTGGTGACATGATTCCGTTTTAGTGATTTGATTGCATTTGGTTAAATCGGGAGTTGAAACAAAGTTTGGTTTCATGCTTAGGCAGTTTATTTCTGACGTCACGTAACCACACTCCTTTGCTGTAAATACATTGATGTACCAGGGACTGCATAGGAATTGCTCAATAAGTATATGTTCAATGAATGAAACTTCACTGCAGCAGAGACGTTTTCTTCTTTTTTTTTTTTTGAATGCTTGTAAAACACATGAAGGTAGTCAAAACACACATCTTGCACAGAAACCACTTGCACTGTCCCTATCACTAATTGCAAGAACCACCTTAGATCTGACAGCCGGGCCGAGAAGGCAGGCCCCTGATTTCAGCCTAGCACTTTGCAGCAGGGACGGCTCTCTTTGACTTTTCCTTCTCGTTGCTAGCTGGATTTTCTGGCCACTTGCCTCATGCTTCACCTCAATCCCTTGTCCTTCCTGAATGATCTGAAGTGTTTCCCAATATTCAGATTCCTTCCCACCACCATCAGAAGATCTTTCTTTCGATCACATATCTGTATGTGTTTTTAAGAGACAAGAGTTACAATCCCTGGACCACACGTATGTATGTATCGATGTTTTAACCTAAAGGATTTCTAGCTCTCGAAAAAACAGTTATCTGGAATAATGCCACACGGATCCACTCGATATTAAGAAGCTTAATTTAGAGCAGTGCAGTTGCCCGGCAGATACTTGCGAACCATTCAGGAATTAAACTCCGTGTGAGTTGTTGCTCGGAAAACCGATAGGGCTTCTTCAGGCCAAGAAATCTGTCAGTACGTTAGCCAAAGTAGAGCCAATGCCTTTTGACCCCGGTCATCGACTGTTCAAACCACAAAGCCCTTCCAGCTCCCTAATTACTTGAGCCATCGGACTCCAAACTGGATTGGCCTCGTCATTTCCCATCTGGCAGCCTCTGGAATCTGAAGTCTGCTGGGCTTTGCTGTTTGTTAGCAGAACTCGAACCAGGCTTTCCCTGCCCCCTTTCTGTTGCGTGGTATTTGAAATCTGGGTTTATGAGTTCTCCGTACCTGCCTTTTTCACTGAAACTATCCTTAAAGCCCTATACACACAGAAAAGTAGATGGAGGGATGGGGTTGGGGAGTGGGGGACGGAGGGGGGCGCGTTTAAAGTTCCCAAACTGGAAATTAAAAAAAAACAAACAAACCTGTAAATTAATACTGCACATTACAGACTCTGTAGCTTAAAGACTTCTTTAAGCTTCCCCGTTACCTCTTTGAGTTTTTTTGTTGTTGCCGTTTTTATTTTTGTAACTTGAGTGAGAATCCATGACATCGGGTCATTATGCTGATGGTAGAAAACTGTAAAATTGTTTCGCTTTTTTAACTGTTCTTATTGCGTCTGGAATCCGTATGATCCTCAGTGTGGTCCACTGGGAAATCTGTGCACTAACCGCTGTGTGGGCAAGTATTCATAATCTAAAGGGGATGGTGAAGAGTGGAGATAAGGGTCAGTGGACATATGCCGAATTCGCCACACCCAGCCACTTGCCTTGTGGCTTTGCGTGAGGTCTTAGCCTCTCGGGAAATTCGATAATTGTATAATGGGGACGTGGTTCAGATGGCAGGCGGTGGCTGCTTGGAGCACTGTGTCGAGAAGGATTCTGGGGGGCAGCACCTGGGCTCAGAGGGAAAGAACGTTGGATTTTAAATTTTGTTTAATGTTTTATTTATTTGTGAGAGCACGAGCAGGGAGGGGCAGAGAGAGGGGGGGAGACACAGAATCCAAAGCAGGCTCCAGGCTCCGAGCTGTCAGCACAGAGCCCGATGCGGGGCTTGAACTCACAGACCGTGAAACCACGACCTGAGCCGAAGTTGGATGCTTAACCGACTGAGCCACCAGGTGCCCCAAGAACGTTGTGTTTTAGAGATATTTTCCACGGGTTTGGCAGTGGGGAGGTGGGGCACGCATGATATTTGGACTAGATGGTACACAGCATTTCCCTCTTACTGTCAGATTTCTGTGACTCTAGGGTCCTCTTTGAGGCTTCCTGCTTCTAGGTGGAAAAACACCTTCAGCAGAAATAGGTGGTTGTTACGAGCAGGAATTCTGGGGCCACACTATCTGGATTTGAATCCCAGCTCCTCGCTTTGGGACCTTGGGCAAAATTTTCTCTGCTGTAGTTTCTTTTATCCCTGAATACGGGGGCTTTGATCTCATTTCTTCACTGAGGTGTCCCTGTGCGCCCAGAAGCATACCCAGAACATGGTAAGCGGCCAGTAAATATTTGTTCAGTGAATGAATGAACCTTTCGTGGATGGTGACTGGAATTAGACAAGCTACTACATACAAAGCACTTCATAGTGCCCGGCACAGCGTGTGTTCGATTAAGTTTTAGTTGACTGTTTTTCACCATTTATTAGATAAGAAAGCACAATATTTTAAATGACTTAATTTGCATTTTATTTTCCTATTCCCAGGCGTAGGGACCTGTCATGAACACCTAAGGCCTGGAGTTGAGAAAGTAAGGGGCTAACTTACCAAGAGTCTCAGAAGATTATTTTTACTTTGGCATGTAGTATTTTGCTCATCCTGGGTTGTTACCAGAATATTCTGTCTGTAGATAAAAATGATGGCACCGTGTAGTCTTGGCACATGTACTTCCCAGATTTGTTCTGGGTTGTACCGGCTTCCTCCGCGTCCCCCACCCACCCACCCATGCCTACAGATTATGTTAATTCCAGGGGTAGAAATGTCTGAAACGACCAGCTGGGCTCATGAGTGCAGTTTGAGGCCACAGAACCTAGCACTTAGCTGGCCTGTACATGAATTGTGCCTGGAACTTTGGCCTCATTAGCACCATGGTATTTGTGACTATTTAACTGGCCCAGACTCGTCCACATCAGATATAATTTCTTGTGTTTGTTCTTGTAATAAATCAAGCTGAACGCTGATTGCAAGACGCATTAAAAGTCTTTAGAGAGTTTACCCCTGTTGCAAAAGAGTTTCGTGTTTGGAATGCAGGACTCTTACAAAGAAAACCTAGCCAGCCCCAGGGAATGATAAGAAAGCCTGCTCTTGGAGTGGTTTCCTCTCTTCCCTGAAGACCCCTCCTTCTCTCTGGGTCAGTCTGGCACCCGGGTCTCTTTTCCCAGGGCTGACACCCCTGCGTGCTTCCCTGTCTGCTTGTCCTGTAGACAGATCATGGGTCGGCTGTCGTGGGATGTTATCAGTGGAAAGAAGCCCACAAATGAGTTCCAGTCCTCACTTTGGCAGACAGACCTTTTCTTCAGTCTAAGTACATAAAATGGAGGAAGGGAGCATGGTGCCTGGCACATCGTCAATTAGTATTTTTTTAAATGCACGCGTCAATGGTAAACTGCTCTGCTTGGAAGAGGTGTCCGAGCCCATTGGACACCTAAGGAATAAGGCCAAGCTCCTAGGTCTCTGAGATTCCGTTTGAAGAATACTGGTGTTAGACTGGGGACGGACTTGACCTCGACAGAGGTCATGGAGACACAGCTTGTTAGGTTTGGGCCAGGCTGCAGCCCTTTCTCCATATAATTTGGATAAATGGCCGGCCTGCCTTAAGGGGTTTGTGCACGCACTTCTGTAAGTCCTAATTGGAACTGTTAAGGAACCGTTCACATGCAGGAGGAATCTACCTCATTAAGTGCTGTACGAACCGGTCCTGACTGCAGTTGGGTTCACCTATAAATCATAATATGGAATCTTTTGGAAGAATAAAATGCCTATGCAGCATTCCACGATTAGATTTATCCCCAGGCCCTAAATAGCAGTGTGTACTTACAGCAGACAATAAGAACGATTGCTTACAATAGGGTTGGTAGGACCCAGTATCAGAAATAGTTGTGTCTTCGGGGCGCATGCGTGGCTCAGTCGGTTAGGCGACCGACTTTGGCTCAGGTCGTGATCTCGCGGTTTGTGGGTTCGAGCCCCGCGTCGGGCTCTGTGCTGACAGCTCAGAGCCTGGAGCCTGTTTCAGATTCTGTGTCTCCCTCTCTCTCTACCCCTCCCCTGCTCACGCTCTGTGTCTCTCTGTCTCTCAATAGTAAATAAATGTTAAAAAAAATTAAAAAAAAAGAAATAGTTGTATCTTCATATTCCTCCCCTTATCTTCACTTTATTTTTTTTTAATTTTTTTAAATTGTTTTTTTTAATGTTTATTTTTGAGACAAGAGAGACAGAGCATGAACGAGGGAGTGGCAGAGAAAGAGGGAGACACAGAATCTGAAACAGGCTCCAAGCCCTGAGCTGTCAGCACAGAGCCTGATGCAGGGCTCAAACCCACGGACTGTGAGATCATGACCTGAGCTGAAGTTGGACGCTCAACCAACTGAGCCACTCAGGTGCCCCAACCTCTTATCTTCACTTTAAAAATCCACATTCTTGGTTAATTTTGTTTCTCTGTTTGCAGAATATTCCGCCTTGCTTGCTCAACTGGTTTGTCCATTTACTTTTCCTATTGGTAAAATTGTTTTATATAATGTTTTGCAGTAAATAGTTTATGCAGTATTTTTATATCGGTTGTATAACGTGTATCAGTGATGAATTTTCAAAACTGTAGTTGAATTCGATACGATCTTGCTGATCTAAGAGTGGTT